GGTCAACCAGAACCTTTCCTCCCCATGGTGAGAAGTGCTTGTACTACCTTTACAAAAACCAAACAGTCCTGGTACCCTTCCATAGCACTTACAAACTGCCTATGTAAGTTACTGGAAAGGATGGTTAACGTTCGGCTAATGTGTTACCTTAAATATCACAACCTCATCTCTCCAAATCAGGTTGGATTTTTTCAGCATCAACAATTATCATCCCATGGCATATGCAGAAACATGGGTGTTTTCATAAAGTCCTTCCTTTCTGATTGCACCCTCTGTGTAAGATTTGCCTTTTCTATGTCCTCTTCTTTCCCTTAGTCAAAGGTGTTCCACAAGGCAGTGTGCTCAGCACATTATTTCTCATTGCTTTAACCCAATGGCGCCGGGTGTATAAAAGAAAAAAAAAACTCTACGCTTAAACAAACAAAGGCGGCGCGCCGACTTTGAGTGCGTGAGTAGGGGACATCAGCCCGAATCACTGGCTCGCCGCGCTTTGGTGCGCCGCCGGCTCGTTCGGCGGCACGCCAGCTTTCGAGCTCTTTGTGTACACGCCGATCGGCGTCACCCGGCACCAAGGGATTAAACAGATTAATTTCCTATTCCACCAGGAATTCGGTCATCACTGTACATAGATAATCTAGCCATTTTTGCCTCTGGTTTTCCCATACCAGCTGTCCATCAGTTTCTCCAGGCAGCAATAACATCACATACACCTTTCACTCATACAACTTTCACCTTCCTCCTGAATTGGGTGTCCTTACAACAGAACTAGTCAGAGCATGTCTTCCTCATCCTACACCATCTTCACTGACTCATGTAACTCAATATCACTAATAAAGCCCATACACCCTATCAACCCTAGAGTCTGAAAGATACAAAACAAGTTGTTTTATCTGTCTACATTACAGGATTCATGTCAGGATTCCTGGCAATGAACAAGCCTATGCCTTAACACGATCTGCCACCTCCATCTAATCACCCTTTGTTCTTAACCCTTGCCCTTCTATCCTACCCTATTTCCTCCCTCTCTTTCTACACCTTTCATTACCATACTATCTTATAATTCCATATGACCATTGAAATCAAAGATTTTTTTTTTATAATAAAGAATATCTTTAAATCCCTTCCACCACAATACTTTACCATAGTGCTATATAATATTTGATGTCTATCACATTTATTTGTTTATAACTTTAAACATTAAACATTTGAAAGCTATTAGTTTTTAAAATACCATTTTCCAGTATTTTTCTTTTTTTTCTTATATACATATGAGTGACATAAAGACATTCCCATTTCTGAAAATATTATATATACTCCATTTCATTTATGTTTCTTTCAAATTATTAAAGATATGTCTTTCATTATGTGTAGACAATAATTATTTAGAGAGTAACTACTTAAAATAATTGAATGAAAAATTTCACAATATGCACAGTATTCATTTTATGGGATGTAGAACACTGTTCTGGTGTATGCATCTCATAATCCTGCAGAGGAATTCAGCTAACTATTGCAAATGTGTGTGCTGTGATTAACCATATAACTGGATTGATTTATTATTGATGGGATCATAATTTTATGCTTAAGATTCATCCAAATAAAGTAATTATCAAAGACAGTGGGACAATTCAGTAAACTTGTAAAACCTAGGTGCTGGGTTCTAGATTTATCAATCTCCCTTATAAAACTGATGATCCTAATAAGTTATACATATTGTTAATCACACCCTTGGCTATAAGGCACTAGCAAAGTTTGTACAGTAGGATCTGTCTTGTCTTAACATTTGTACCCACATCATAGAAGAGGACCATGACAGTGAAAATGAAATGATTCTTATCAGCAAGCAAGAGAATAAACAACCTTGTGACTGTGCTGTCCCTGCGAGACTGACTGTAGAAGACACTTAATGAGCAAAGAGAGGAAACCATATAAGAAGGAAGATAGAACAGGATATGCTGCAAGAGAATACTGAAGAAAGCCTCTCAACAGAGGCAACTCTGACAGCCTCCTGAAAGGGATAATATCCAAAAGGGAGGGGGGAGCCTGAAATGAAAATAGCTTTCTAACATTTAGCAAGTCTTGTGTTTTTGTAAGAAGGATAAACTGTAAATACTTATCTGATATGAAAAAAGGGTAGAAAATGTATCACATAATATAAAGACACCAACCTTACAACCGACTGGGAAAGTAGTCTTGAAAAGTATTCACAACTCTAAGAAGTTAAATATCTCAAAACATGATTTCTTCACCTTTTATGCATTCATTTCAATGAAACAAAGACTCAACTAAAGGGGAAGGCCTGCATTTTACCATAAAATAGTGCAATATTTTCAGAATTAGATACACATTTTATTATAATATTTTTTAGCAATTAAAACAAAAAAAAAAGACAAATAAAACCAGATATAAAAAAAATGATGTTATACTAAATACTAAGTAAATACCTTTCCTTCAGCACATAACTCTACATTAAAAACTAGGAGATAGAAAAAAAAGAGGGCAGGGGAGGAGGAGGGGGGAGGTAGGGAAACTTTTACATGACTTCTTATTCATATAGTAGTCTTGATTTTTTCATAAGATTTTCATCTCAATATAGTCAATAATAACGATTTTCCCCTCGAAACTGGATACTCATCTTAAGGTTTGTTTCCTATGTATTCAGTACATCTATAACTGAATGTATTCCTTTGTGCATTATATTTGAATTTACTCCATTTTTATGCATCCTCTGATCTTGTGATTAGTGGGTGAATAGATTAACTCATAATGCCAATGAAATGGAATATACCATGAGTTCCAGCATTGTCATGAAAGAACATATTAAATTGCATTTTCCCTTAGAATTCTTAGGTTATTAAAGACTATGTTGTTTCATATTTCTGTATTTAACCATGGCTAACTCTAGACTCCAGTATTCCTCTTGGTAGTCCAGGCCTGGAGGAATGTGCTAGGTCAGTGGTTGTCTTGCTTATAACAGCCAGGCAATTGTCATATGTAGTTATAGGAAAATCATCTTTAGTGCCATAGCCTAAACGCTTAAAATCTCACGTGACAAACCCATGGGAAGATTTTATGACTGGTTACTATGTCAAGGTTAGCTTACCAACTACTGCAGTGTAGATCTGAGGGAATGTGATCCATTGTCACGTTCTGTAAAGGCCTAATGAAAAGGACTCCATTAGTCACCATTGATAAACATGATATAATATATTCCCAATATAGTACATTATATTACCCCTAATTGTGGCTTGTGATGGAAAGAGCACATAATTGAAGACAGCCTGGCAGACCAGACTAGAA